CATATTTCTAAAGAATACTATGTAAAAGGAAGAAGTATAGTACATTGTCATATATCAAGTTAAACCTCTGGATACCTAGTTGTCTGTTCATGTGGAGAGTCCTTATCTTTTCTACCAAGGGTCTTTGATTTTGCCCAGCTCCAGAAAAGTAAGGATTCTCCTGCCCAAATCTCAGAAATATGGAATTTAATCTAGTGAAGATTCTTGAAATAAAAGGGATAGTTGTTCAATCATGCAGCCTTGTTTGCTAAATTAGGTTTTCATGGAAATTCTCTTTATAGATAATATAGCCAAATTTCAGGATATTAAAAAAAGGTTACAAGAGAAAGAAATTGCATTTTGATGACACAGTTATGCATGCACACCTCATTTCTAAGGGGTCAGAAATTTCAGACTTATCAGTGTTTACCATAGATTTAGTTTCTTTGACAAGATGTCTCTGAAGGATTTATGAACACATACACATAGACTGAATATGATGAGAGTTCCAGAATAATCTTTGTTCTGAAAATGTCCCTGTTCTTCTTGTATTTTTATAAAGAATCTTGCCCCCTTTGCTTTTCCAGTAGATACACAGAGTAAAGAAAGGAGAAGCAAGACTTTGATCCCGAGACAGGAAAGGCTCAAAACAGCAGAGTACCGGCACCTTTTTTGGATGGAACCTTGTAGGGTAGGTAAGGCGGGTTGTATGACATGTATGAGTTCCGGCACCTTTTTTTTTTTTTTTTACAAAAAAAGCACTGCAAAACAGTATGTACAGTTGGATACTCATTCAGAAACTAACAAAGTTGTCTTCATCAAGCAGTATAATCGGGTTATGTGCCTTTAGACTGGAGTGAAGATATGTTATTTGTGAGCCACCTGCAACAGTGATTCAAAAGTCAATAGTCTGCTGATACTGAATCCAATGCTACACTACATTTGGATGACAACGGCTAACTAGTGGGATTGAGAAAGGGAATCTTAATTCAGGTCCTGGATATCAGTTGCATTCCTATAATGAGTACTGGTAGATATCTTTGTTTGTATTAACCAGATTCACTTCTTGAAGAATTTATCTATCAATATTACAAATGACAATACTCTATTCTCTTACTTGAGGTCTATCCAATTTTGTTTTGATCCAACAAACATGTTCTGTTGTTCCTGACAGGTATGACAGTAAAATACTAACGTTCATATACTGTATGTATGTGTATATGACAAACTCCTTGATTCTGACAATTTCTAAGAATGAAGCTTTATAGCTATAATTCTAGATGATATATATATATATTCTATTATGAACTTATATAAAGGATTTAATAATATATTCAATACACACACACATACCATTATTATACTACTAGACCAATTTTGAAAGAACCAGGCTAGAAACCAGGAGTTATAATATAAAATGAGTAATGAGCCAAGGTGGCGCAGCAGTTAGAGTGCAGTACTGCAGGCCACTTTAGCTGACTGTGTTCAGCAGGTCAGCGGTTCAAATCTCACCGGCTCAAGGTTATAATAATAATAATAATAATAGTAAAGTTGGAAGGGACCTTGGAGGTCATCTAGTCCAACCCCCTGCTCGGGCAGGAAACCCTACACCATTTCGGACAAATGGCTGTCCAGTCTCTTCTTAAAAACTTCCAGTGTTGGAGCATTTACTGCTTCTGGAGGCAAGCTGTTCAACTGATTAATTGTTCTCACTGTCAGGAAGTTTCTCCTTAGTTCTAGGTTGCTTCTCTCCTTGATTAGTTTCCACCCGTTGCTTCTTGTCCTGCCTTCAGGTGCTTTGGAAAATAGCTTATTCCCTCTTCTTTATGGCAGCCCCTGAGATATTGGAATACTGCTATCATGTCCACCCTTGTCCTTCTCTTCGTTAAACTAGACATACCCAATTCTCGCAACCGTTCCTTATATGTTTTAGCCTCCAGTCCCCTAATCATCTTTGTTGCTCTTCTCTGTACTCTTTCTAGAGTCTCAACATCTTTTTTACATCGTGGTGACCAAAACTGGATGCAGTATTCCAAGTGTGGCCTTACCAAGGCATTGAAGAGTGTGACTCAGCCTTCCATCCTTCCAGGGTAGGTAAAATGAGGACCCAGATTGTTGATATATATACACATTGTATATAAATAAATATACACATACACATTGCTTACTGGTGTACACCGCTTAGAGAGTGCTCGCACTTAAAGTGGTATATAAGTCTCATAAATAAATAAATAAATAAATAAAAGTAAAGCGGGTGACATTGGGCCAACCCAATCCACCTCACAAGGTTGTTGTGGGGAAATAGGAAGAGGAAGAAATGTATGTTTACCACTTTGAGTTACTTATAAAATAATAAAGGTGGGATTAAAAATACAATAAAATGCTTTATTATTGCTTTTTATGTCTATACTTGTATCTCACTTGCCATATTGGGTGATGTATTTCAGACGGAATCCGTATGAGTGATAAATTCTTTATCCTTAATAAAAATAGGACTTACTAATTCAAATGATGTAAGGAATCAAAGCAGAATATGGACTACATTTATTCTCTGGGGTATGCAAAACATATATGCAGCATCCAAAATAGCCTTTGTTCAGCAATTGTTCGCAAGATGTCCCAGTATGATGTAACTTCCATTGTCCTCATTCAAGATAGCTGGTTGAATGATGGGAGCGGCAGACCACTGCATTTATTATTTATTTAGAGTATGAGGAGGACATAACAAAAGAGAAGTAAACATATATACAAAATCCATGTAAGACCACTGTATTAGAAAATACAATAGGAGAATCTTGAACATATGATGATGATGTGCCATCAAGTCATTTTCAACTCCTAGCAACAGATCTGATCTATGTGTTCAGTGCACTGAATGAACAATCAATATTGGCAGCATTCTATACTTGATCATTTGTTCAATATCCTACTTGAGGGAAACTTATGTTTAAGCATTTGGACCTAAACTGTATTTTCTCTCATTCTTGTGATCTCCAGATATGGTTACAATTCCCATTACCTTCAGACAACAGGCTCTTCTTTAGACATTTCAAGGCATTATTACATACTGTGGTTTAAATTTGTGCTTCAATAAATTTGTGTGATGAGGAGTGTCCACAGAAAGATTTAAAAAAAAAAGCCAGGATGGCAGCTGTAATCATGTAATCAAAGCCCCGCCCCTTTTTACATATGTCATGATGCACATAAAAAGGTGAGGCTTTGATCACAAGGTAATGGATGCCATGTTGACTTTTTTGACCCTCTTCCTGCATAAGTTCCTGCTGATAGGTGTTATTAATGTGAAAAGTATTATTCAATGACCCCACAACACCAATTGTTTATGACAGAAAGCTTGCCACAATTAAAACAAAAATCCTATGATACAGTAGTTAATATAATTTCGGATAGTAATATGGTAAAGATCTTTATCTGCTTTGTTTTCACAATATGCCTCTCATTTTACTGTTGAGGAAGGAGCAAAGGCCAAGAGAAAGGAGGACTAACAGGGAAGTTTCTAACAGAATGAACTCAAACTGCAAACAGTAATGCTACAGTCAAAACTGCAAGAGCGTATGCCATAGTGCGATCTTCCTTAGCTAGAAAACCTGCCAATCGGTAGAGTGAAGATTGGTAGCAATGATTAACATTTGAATCCAAAACTTGAAGCAAGCCAATACCAGTTCTGAAAAAAAGTTCTCCCTATGACTGAAGGAATGGGGCCACTGAAAAAAGGCTATCAAGTTCCCTGACTGCGGGTTTGCAAGGACGCATCCAGGGAGAGAGACTGGTGTCTGAAACCGGCGGGAGCAGGTCAGGTAGGCGGCCTGTCCCGGTCTTTCCTCTAGAGTGAAATAATCACCCTTTTTCTAGAAGTCGGAGCTTGCCGAAAGGCAGCAGCGGTGGGTGTGGCCAGCTGGATGTCGGAGCAGTTCTCGGCTGCCGCTGCCACCACAGGGAAACAGACAAACACCCTCCCAGCCACGGATTGAAGTGCATTGTTTGTGCATGACAAGGTCAAGTCGAGAACTAGAGGAGGGCGGCCCTGGGGCTTTTTTTCTTCCTGTGCAAACGGCGCAAACTTCGTTCTCTCGCCGCTTTCCAGAAGCCCTGTGAGAGCCCAGGGAAGAGAGGACTGCCGGGAACGAAGAAGCCCGGCTTCATGGGACGAAATGCGTGTGTGGGGCGGGAGGGGGGGGGGAGGAAAGCGACATCGCTCCTGAAAAGGAGCAAGTGCTTTAAAGCCAGCTTAATCTCGGCCCAAGGTGATCCTGACAGCCATTTCCCCTTACAAATAACCGTTCGCCTAGCCGCTGAATAACTTTGGGATCCGCGGGAGAGCAATCTCGGTCCCGTCCACATTTGTCCCGGCACTTTGCCCCTGCCCGCTCCTCGTGCAAGTCTACTCGAGGCGGTCGCCCGCCCCGCCTCCCCACGCGGTTTTTTTTTTAAAAAATCGTTCCGAGGGTCTTTCTCCCTCTTTTTATTCCCCCCTTCTTCCCCCATCCCCCTCACTCCTGCGCTCGCCCTCTCCGCTTTGCACCTCATCTGTTATTTGTAAGAAACGTCTTTTTGACGCAGGAAGAAATGGCAAATTTGAAGTACGTCATTAATATGGCGCCAAAAGATTTTGTTAAGTATAAGGTTATTTTTCGTAAGGTTGCAGCAGCAGGCTAGCTGCTGCTACGCCTTTGCATAGCTTCAAGGAGGTGAAAGCGCTCGCGGGTGGGGGGGGGTGAAAGAGGAGATGGGGGGATGCGTATGAAAAGCGGAGGAAGCGAAGAAAGTGTTACAGCTCTGGATCTGTGCGTGCACCGCCGCCACTGTTGTGAGCGCGCGAGGCTGAAGATCGTTGCGAAAGTGACCTGAGCAGGCTCGGAGGGAGAGCGCGAGGGAAAGCGAGTCCGCCTGTGCAACCCGAGCCTTTTCCAGCTGCCCAGGGCACCAGAAAGACAAGAGATGGGGGCTCGGCGCATCGGAGGGGGGTGAAAACAAGGGAGGGGAGGGAGGGAGGGGTGGGCGAAGAGTGCGCCGGGGTGGGAGGCAACACATGCCGAGCACAATCAGGGATGGGACCCACGTCTGCAGCTGCACCTGGACCTGCTGCTCGTCAGGAGGAAGAAGAAACAAGCAAGAAAAGAAATTGAGAGAAGGGGGGCGAGGGGCGAACTCGCCAGCATCAGTCTAATTTATACACTCCTTCAAAGAAGTCCGTTCTTCGCCAGCGAGGGATTAAATAAAAAAGCCTAGGCGCAGACCTTCGGGCAATTGCACAAAGATCCGGAAAGAAGTCTAGAAATTAAAAAAAAAAAAACAGAAACACGCACGCAGGGCTCGGTGGATTTCGCGCAGAGCGGCCATCTCAGCTGGAAGCAATTTTTTGGATTGTTTTTTAAATGCATCTATGGAGTTACTTTGTATCTACTCCTGAAAGGAGGGTATCATCTTCGGATCCTAGGAGAGGGGTCGTTCTCCCTTTCCGCAATGGTACCGGGTTAATCTTTGCAAAGGGAGATTCCGTAAGCGGTGCCATTTCTGGAGCATCTTTCGCTACTCCTCTTTGGTAGCCCGACGGACATTCTCAACTCTTGGAGGACGCTCTTTCCCAGCCAAGGTAAAAGGGTGGAGGATTGCTCCATTTCTCTCCCCCCCCGGTTTTTGCAGCTCCTCTCTATTCTCTCCCTTCCCTCCTTGCATTTGTTTTACTGCTCCCTGACTGTACTGCCTGCAAAGGAGGGGGGGGATGTGCAGCGTTTTTAGAGATTGATTGCGCATGTTGGTCAGTCATGTTTTAAAAGGGAGGCGGCAGGAATGTAAACAACAACTTTTTAAAGGAACGGAAGCCTCGGGAAACGGTTCCTCGGATTAATGACTGCGGCAGAGGTAACCCCAGAAGGTCTTAAGGGGATGAATGGGAAAAGGGACTGGCCACAGTTTAAGACCACCGGGGGGTGGGGCAGAGGACATCGAGAGGAAAAATAGGGTTCCAGAATATGAACCCAGGACGGGTTTGGAGGGTAAAACAATGTGCGTTGCATGTGGTGAATTACGTGGGGCGTGTGTGTGTGTGTGTGTCAAGTCGTGCAAAAGGGATCACGCGGCAATTAGGAGACAGGAGTTTCATTTTTGTTGAGACGCAGCACGTTTTGGAGCATTTGCCTGTCTTGAAGCTGGTGCACCCACATGATCGGCTCTTCTCACGTGCTGAGGTTGTGGGGTTTCTGCCAGCTCCTTCAACAGACATAAACAATGCGCCCAGGAGGCAGGCAGAAGAAGCAGCGCAGTCTTTGGCCAGGGTGGGAGAACCCCGCGGGGCTTTGAATAGCATCAGCTTCTCTGGGGCACTGATGGCTTTTGCAGCCGCGCCGTAACCTAGTGAGGGATGGATGGCTGTGGTGGTGGTGGTGGGGAGGAAGGGAGCTAGGACAAGAGTCACGCCGCTGGGGGATCCAGAGAGATTCGGGAATGGAAATGTACAGGCAGCGGCTGCAATTGAGCTGCGCGGTGGAGCTGAGAACTGTAGGGGGCGTGGCTGTTGTTTACCTTCTCAAACTCTTCCCTGCTCCCAACGGGCTGCTCGGGGGCGGCTCATCTTTTGCATCTCTGCTACCGAATCGCTCCCGCCCCTCTATGCCCGCCCGCGGATACGCGGGCTGCTCTTTCCTCCCTTCTCGGAGGCGTTTTCTTCCACCCGGTTTGCCTGCCCCCTTCCCTGCATTCCCTCACAGGCTTGCACTTTGCCTGTGGTAGGCATTCCTTCCGAAAGCGTCTCATCATTGCTGCTCTACTGTTTCCTCTTGCCGCCATCCCTCTTTCCTCCTCTTCCCTCCCTGCCGTTTCTTTTTTGGGCAGCCTTTTTCTTTAGGCCCCCTGCTGCCAAAAAAAGGAGATGGTCCCTTTTTATAAGGCTTCAATTTGCCTCCAAGTCATGGGTCCTGGCCCCGGACGCCCTTCTCCCCTCAGTCACATTTCTGATGCCGGATGACTGAAGGATGAGACCGAAGTATGTATATGTTGGAGCCTTTTCCTCTGTTCCATTTTGGGATGAAGCTTGTTCTCCATCCTTGCCGCTCCTTTTCTGCCATAGGAGACACCTAGACCACCTTCACAAACTCTGGGCAGCTTTCTGGACAGACTTCTGGAGAATTGGTGTTGCTGGGTGGGTAAATAAATACCTTCAGTCTTCTGAGCATGGAATTCCAGAAAGGAAAAGGGTTAGGATCTGACTTGGAAGCTAGAGGTGGCTCCTGGTTGTCCCATGCCCTCACTTGCACCTCCCCCAATATACCTTTTCCGTTTTATAATTCCCAATCAGATTAGTCTAAGCTGAATTACTTTTTAAGAGTATTATCCCTTCCTCTCAGCAAAACCCACTTGCTTATCCACTTTATCATTTGGTAACTGTGTCTCTTTCCAGTATTTCCTTCTGTTCCATCCCCCTCCCCAACTCTTAGTATCACCTTCCTTTAACCTGCGCTTCTTGCCTTCTTTCTGAATTCTTGAACCTTCCATCCAGAAACTTTTCTACCCAGTTCTTTGTCACCATTCAGAGTTGTTTTTAATTCTCATGGAAATACAGTACTCACATTCTCACTTGGTGCTGTCTTCCCGAGTGGGACTCATTTCTAATCCCTGATGATAGCTTAAGCCCTCCTTGATGTTCCAATAATACCTTCTATTCTAGCACAGTAGACATTACAGCAGCATACTGGCAGTCACTGGGCAGCCCTGCATATTCTTAATGCCCACCACCACCACTCACACATTTTTTGCTTTTCAAGGAACTGTGACTACTTGAATAGGAATATAAAATGTTGCTTAGTGGATTGTTTCATTATCCAGAAACGGTTTTAAAATAATTTCTTACCCTTGTCCATTTCTCCCTCACTTAGCTTTCTTTGCTTATCTTTTCTCTGCCATATCACTGGTCCCTCATTCCTCAGAATTATACTGTATTATCCCTGCTTTTCTCAAGCATTGTTTTCATTTCAATATTTTACTTTCCTTCCTTATTTCAGAGTTTAATTAATAAAACTCTTTTACTGGAAAAAAACTCACAGTATCCAGAAACTATTTATTTACATGATTTGATGGTATTATTATCATGGTTGGTCACAGAGTCACTCAGAGGTTTGGTAGTATTTGGACACTTTATCTACCTTCAAGTCCTTCTCAAGGACCTGGGATAGGCAGATATTATTATTTGATGGTGTAAAAGATTGTAGCAAGGCATCTTTGCTATGCTTACTTTTGCAACAGTTCTTTTGTTATTATGTCTGAGTATGAATTCATCTTTTACTTTTTAGTCTTCAAGTTTTAAAAATATTGTACAGCAAATGTCCTTCGATTAATTTATCAAGACAGTAAGTGAAATAGATAATTCTTAATTTAATGGTCTTTCAAACCAGCAAAACTATATTGAAATTAGTCTAGGAAAATTGCATTTGAAGTTTGAGTTTGTGGAGTTTGAATATGTCCTTAATCAGATTAAAAAAAACAGTTAAACTTTGAATACACTCTATTAATAAATGATCTTAATCTTATGCACAATAGCCCTTGGCTAGCAAAAAAAAAAAAAGGTTACTCCTTCAGGAGACATTAAAAATTTAATGCCTATTGAAAAATAACACCAAACTCACCCAAAATAAGACCAAACTTAAAAGTTGAGGCTTTTGGTTGTTAATTGAATACAGCACTATTCACTCAGTCTATCATTGATGCTAAGTATTTTGACCTTTAAACACTTGCTAGTTACTCAGGTGAAAGCATAATTGATACTTAATGGGAAAATGTGTAAAAGAAGTTAGTTTTGCTCTTCCGTAAGAAAGTTCTTGAACTTTGATAATCAAATCAGTTAAAATCAAGATGAAAAACTTTCTTAGAAGCTAATTTTATTCATTCATTTTGTTCCATAAGATTATCATTAGAATATACTTTTAGGCAGTTACTAATCATCTTAATATGATACTTTGGTATAGAGAACACAAGTTTTATGTGATGTAAAAGAAGGAATTTTACCATTTATTCAATAGTGAGAAAAACTGCACCTGTTGAAAACATGCCTTCTTTTGATTTTGGTCAAATCCATGGTCTTAATCCATGATACCTCTTGAAGTTCTTGTTAGTTGATGTGGCATGTCTCTTGGAACTAAAAGTTGGCTTTAGTTTCTATTTAATTTTTCTGGTATGAAGTTAAAATAGGAACATGATACAGGTATTCCTTCTACAACAATCCACATTTTTCACTTAAATTTCTAGTGTTAACATAGAATAATGTAAAAAAACAACAACAAAAAACAAATTGGAATGTTTTGATGAGAGGTTAATATCATTATCTTTGTATAGTGCCTATCAATTTTCTTCTTTCAGATATTTTTTATTTTTATTTTAAAAAAAGCAGTATGCTTCTAGTATCATCTCACAAGCTGTTTAGATATTCTTAGAAAATTAAAAAAAAAACGATGGGTGCAACTCAGTTCTTAATTTGAGGTTATGTGCCAAGAAAAATAAATTAATGGTAAGGTGGTAGGGAGCATCCTGAAAGACTAAGAGGGTTAGTATTTGATCTATATTGATATTGCACATCATGTCCATCATAGCCATTTGACTATGAGATATGTCTACTTGTCCAACAGTGTTGCCTATTCCTGAGTCAAGATAAATAGCAACATAAATAGCAGACAGACACCTGTAGAGTAACTGCATAAAATTTCATTTTAATGTATGCCGATGTGTGTACATTCAAAGTGACAATAAAGTTACTATTATTCTATTCTAAAATATTAAGTAGAATAGGAAGTTATTAGCAGCAGTACTGTGCTTCAGTTAACCTTTAAAAAGAGGTGGCCCCTTCAGCTAAAAGTTGTACTAGAAGCACAAAAATATTTTTCCCCACTGCTAATAGTGCAATTGACCATCTCTGAAAATCTTTACTAAATAATCGGAAATTTGCACTCTTGGTAATAAATGTAATACCTTGAAGCACCTTAATCCTCCTTTGCTATCAGTCACTTTCCAAAGTAGCATGGTTACTTTCTGTACAGTGACTAAACTTGTCATAGTTATATTTATTCATTACTGTTCTTATTTAAACACTGTCAATAATGCTTCTATTTCTCCCCATATCTTAATAATCATTTATGTTTTCACATATTAATATGTTTCTGATTAATCAGAGAGTTAAGAAAAATAAAGGTTAAAAATGCAAAAGAGAAATTAGAATCATAAATATAGGTATCTGCTAGATACAGAAAATATCTTTGCTATTGAAGTTACCAAGACAGCTTGCTTTATATTTCAGAAAGATTAAAACAGAATTCCCCAGTTGATGCCCTCTAGAGAAAATTTCCTCTAAAGGCATATTGATTGGAAATTCTGAAAGTCACAATCCTAACCCATCTGAAGGATGCCAGGTTAAGGAAACCTAGATTAGACGTTCTTCATAGAACCAAAACATCAAGCTTTGCTATAGCAATATAAAAATCATAGCAATCAATATGCATTAATTCCTCAGTAAAAACAAAGCACACTATTGCTAGATCTTACAATGTCAGAATCCATTAAAGCTGAGCTGAGCAATATGTTATCATCCTGATCTTACTGCATCCTTAATTC